ATCCTTGTGGGATTACAGATATATACCACCCCATCCTGTTTCTTATGTGGGATCCTGCACCAGGGTTTCAAACGTAGGTGGTCAGGATGTGCTGATAAGAGCTTCTACCCACTGCGCCATCTCTCCAACATAATGCTTTATTTCTGTACTATCTTAGTCCATAGATTCAGACGCCTTCTCTTATGCTTGAAGCACAACATCCTGATTGCATAGATTTCAGAGTAATTTATGATGCATGAAGCACAAGTCCCTCTGGTTTACTTTTAAATAATATCCAGCTATTTTAGAGGTTTGAGAATCAACTTTTCAATTTCTGTTAAAACTATGGAGAATACAATGGAAATTGTTTTCCATGCATACACATATTAAGAAATTTTTGCTATGTAAAAATATTGTTTTCTGATTATTGAACTTGGATAGCTTTCCAAGTAATTATATTTTCTTTCTATAATGGTCACTGCTAATATATGATGACTAGCCATGGTTGTTGAATTTGATTGATCTAGAATGAATGGAGAAAATCCTTCTGGGCATGTTTGTGAGTGTGGTTATTAGAAGATTGATTGAGAAGGGAAAACTTTTCCCTAGAATAGTCAGCAACACCTTCTAGGGTGGTCCCTATATAAAGAAGTTCAACGGAAAAGCAGCACTCCCTTTTGCTTGCCTACCTCCACTCCTTGCTAGTGAGTGCATCTGCTATATTGCTGCCAGTATTACCACCACCATTTGCTGTCTTTGAACCCAGCTTTTCCAGCCTCCCAACATGGACTGAAAACTGTCAGTTCTATAGAAATCAGATTGGGAGTGTTGCAGCATCCAGCCTTGGGAACTCAGCAGCTATCAAATTCTCAGCCTCTACCACAATCAGAGAGAGATTGCTGGACTGTCAAGACTGTCATACGAACATAAATCCCCTTCATAAACATATCTTTAATGTGTTGAATCTGTTATTTTCTTGTTCTGGGTGTTGAGAGTGGGTCCTCTACATTGCTAGCCTGGAACTGGCTAAGTAGACCAGACTAGCTTGAAGCTTGCAGCCATTCTTCTGCCTCAGTACCCTCAGTGCTACGACTGTGGTGTATGCCATTGTACCTTGCTCTGTTGAGTATTTTTTATTGATTTTCTATTGAGCTCTACATTTTTCTCTGCTCCCCTCCCTACCTCTCCCCTCCCCTGCAATCCTCTTCCAAGGTCTCCATGCTCCCAATTTATTCAGGAGATCTAGTCTGGAGAGATGGCTTGGCCGTTAAAGGCTAGGCTAACAATCAAAAATATTGAGTATTTTTTTTATCATAAAAATAGTCAATTTTTTTCTCAAATCCTTTCTCTGTACTTGTTTTAATGATAATGTGGTTTTGTTCTTTGTTTTTCATTTAAGGGGGCTTATTATATTCATTTAAAAATGTTAAAACAACTTTATAATCCTGGGAGAAATTCAGATGCACAGTCTTTTAAAGCATCACTGTGTTTGATTTACTATCATATTTTGTTGAGAACTTTAAAATTTATAGTCAAATATTGGGATACATTTTTCTCTTCTTATCTTTTTTTTGTTTGCTTGTTTTAATATCAGACAACACTGGCTTCTAGAGTGAATTGAAAAGTCTCTCTCTCTCTCTCTCTCTCTCTCTCTCTCTCTCTCTCTCTCTCT